GCAAAACAATAATATTCAGCGTCATTATTTTCTCTTCTTAAAGAGATTACTGCTCATAAAGCTGATATTGTGCGCATCCTCTCGCTTCTAACTACGCTCGACGAAAGTAAAAGCCAATTAGAGCAAAAGACTGAGCTTCTTTATGCTGAAATTCTTCCGCTAAAATCCAATGTAAATGACAAAGATGCGAATATAACTAAGCTAACTTCGGAAGTTAAAAAACTTCGCGATGCTGTTGTTGGTATCTCTAACAAGATACCAATGCCATTAGGAGTGTTCGCTATGCAAAAAATTTGTACAAGTTGGTACCAATTGTTACCAAATCGTGTTCGTTAGCCAAAAACCCAGTAAAACTTGCAAGGAGAGAGCAAAATTTTGACATTTCATTTGGAGGGGAAGTTGCAAATTCGTGCTGGGAAAATTTTTGCCAGTAAGAATTTGCAAGCAGGATTGTGGCGCACGGTTGCATTTTTGTCAACATTAATTGGAATCAACGAGTTCGTTAAATTTAAAAATGAACACTTTTGTTGCGATTTACTAATGGAAGAAGTATGTAAATATTCGTTTATTCAATTAATTTAATTAATTCCAAACATTTGAAAGGTACTTGGCTGAAAACGCTGTATTCGTAATCTTAACGCACTCTACACCACTGTCGATATAGGAAATCTGACAGTGACTTCCACAATGAAATTGATATGGATGATCTTCCTAAACTCAACTTCAAATTAGGGGTGGCGGAACGGTACTACGAGAAGGTGGTAAATGCTAACAGCTGGCCCACTAATGTCAAAATACTTCCTTTTGGTTTCCAAAGGACGGCCTCCAGAAACTAAACACGTAACTACCCTGTTCGGAATAAGTCTAGTCTCAGACAGCTTAAAATCTACTTCCCAAAAGTATCTGGCATAAGGACTAAACATAACTCTTCAATAAGAGTGCACACTTGGATTATAACATCTTTGTCCTCATCGACACAACTCTGAATTTAATGAAAATAAATTTTTTGACCCAAATCTTTACAATGTTTATCGAAAGGACCGGGATGTCGTTCAGACTGGTTTGTCCAGAGGTGGAGGAGTTTTGGTGGCTGTTCTACGTTGTTTTCGGTCTTCATTAGTTCCCCTTCTTCTTTGTGCGTCATACATTCCTCTGTCAAGTAGTGACATGCTTTATAAAGCACATGCTAATAATATCCTCGCTTTAGTAACTAAGAATAATAGGCCTGATGGTAATCTTTGTGTTCTGGGTGATTTTAACTTGCCCAACATTACTTGGTCCTACTTGGATGATAGCCGGGCTTTGTTTCCAGGTAATATCAGCAATTTTCGCGAAACTTATTTGGTCGATAAATTTTTAAGTATTGATCTTATAATAATATAATAACTTTAAAAATAAGGTTTTGAGAACTTTAGATCTCATTTTCATAAGTAGTAACATGAATTTCTCATTACACGAGTGCTTTGAACCCTTGTCTTGCCCTGACCAGCATCACGTACCGCTTATCCTTAATTTAAAACTTTATATTTTTTCACTTCTTTAGCTAAAGAATGCAATATCTGTTTTGATATTTTCAAAAACATAGTCTTAGAGCATGTTCTGTAATTATACCGCCTAAGAAACAATATTGTCACAAAATTCCGTGGTACCCGAAGGAGTTGTGAAAATTGAAGAATTTAAGAAACAAATTTCATAAAAAGTTCAGATCATCTAATGACAATCGGTATAAGGACAATCGGATAAGATATGTGAAGGAGTTTACATCTCTCAAAAAAATCCTCCATAGAAACTACGTTGCTAATGCTAACTATAGAAGATATAGTGGATGGCATTCGCGATCTTAAAGCTTCTACAAAAACAGATATTGATGGATTTTCCTCCTACCAATTAAAAAAACTGCGCAGTATTCGCTCATCCGCTTCTTCCAATGTTCAATAAATCTCTTGACTGTGGGGTGTTAATTGATGCGTGGAATGTTACCTCTATTATTACCCTAATTCATAAGAGGGGCAATAAGGCTAATGATGCCAACTACCGACCTATTTCGCAATTGTCAACAACCTCGAAGCTACTTGAATATATTGTAAAACAGAGAATGTATTTCTCATTCAAGCACCGAGTATCTAGTAACCAGCACGGTTTTGTTCCTGGTAGGTCAACTGTCTCGAACTTAGCTGTCTTCTATGAACTCTGCACGATTGCTTTCAATGATCGCCTGCAGGTTGATACCATCTACACAGACTTCTCCAAAGCCTTTGATAAAATAAGTCACTCAATATTACTAAACAAGTTAGCTAGTATAGGGTTTCATTCTACCTTTTTGTCTTGGATTAAATCTTATTTCTCGTTTCGTAAATGTGTAGTCGTCGTCGATAACTTTGCGTCTCTTCCTTTCATTGCCTCCTCCGGTATCCCTCAAGGCAGTATGCTACAACCTCTGCTATTTGTCATCTTTATCTACATCTTCTTGCTTTGTCTCTTCCAAATATCTTATTTATGCCTACGATTTGAAAGTCTATACTACTATCTCTTCTCCTTCTGATGCCGTAGGTATCCAAAATGATCTTAACAATGTAACAGAATGGTGTAAGAAAAATCGGTTGCAACTTAACACTAGCAATTGTTTTCATGTGTCCTTTTTTAAGTCTCGCTCCCAAATTTGCACCTCTTACTTTATTGCGGACTCCAGGCTCACCACTCGGTCTGAAATCTCGGACTTAGGTGTGACCTTCGATTCTAAGTTCTCATTTCATAGCCATCTAAATCGCACAATTCCAAAAGCATATTCCATGCTTGCCTTTACACGCCGTTTTAGTTCTGACTTCACCGACCCGTATACTCTAAAATTACATTTTACCTCACAAGTTCGTTCTAAGCTAGAATACGTAGTATTTATATGGAGACCATACTATGACTGCCATATTAAAAGGCTTGAGAGGGTACAAAAGACGTTCATCAATTTTGCCCTCCGCTCTTTAAATTTTGATGATCCTGTTCCTTCTTATAATGCCAGATGTCAACTAATCGACCTGAAATCTTTGCACAGTAGAAGGATCACTCTTTCCCTCTGCTTTATGTAAAAGAAAAAGTTTTCTTCCATGTTCCCCACAGAAATCTTCGAAATAATGAAATTTTCGGTCTTGAATGCGTGAAGACCAATTATGCATATAATGCGATTTGTTTGCAAACTCCTTAGATATCGATTTTTCTTTTGATAAGTCTAAATTTAAGTCATTACTAAATGAAAGCATTACTTAGACTGTATTCTAATTTATCTATAACTCGCTTCGTAGTCTGTAAGAATCATTGTATTTCATAGATCACTTTATTGAAATAAATAAATAAACTAACCGTAAATTAGATTTTGCTTTACAACTTTTGTGCCACAGGAGAAACCACCACTAAAAAAGAAAAAGTAACAGCAGGTTCTTATTTAAGGTTGGTGATTACGAGCCTAGAGCATGATTTTAAAAATTCATAACGGTGAACCCAATATGGAGGCCAAAAAATCAAAGTCGATCCGATTCGCTTGAGAAGTTTTCCTCTGGGGCTTTTGTGCCGCTTATTACGAATCTGAGGTCAGGTTGGAAAAATTCAAAATGGCGGACGCAATATGGCGAAAGACAGTTTAAATCGATTAGATTCGCTTAAATTATTACAACCTTGTGTTCTTAAGGTCCCTGATTACGAATCTGAAATCAGATTAAAAAATTCAAATGGCGGATCAGTTTGACAACGCCGGTAATCTTTTGTGGGCATTGTGCATACTTAGAAGTGAAAAAAGAATCAGAAGTTGAGATCACCTGATTATATGTGATACAGGGTTACACTCAATGGACCATATGCATATAAACTTAGCAATCGCTTTTACTTAAAATTTTATACCTTTCACATAAATTTATTTGAACAAATAGAGTAAAAGATCTGAAATTTTAAGCAAAAGCATTTGCTTAGTTTTTATGCATACGGCCCAATATGTATAAAAAAACTTTAAACTGACAAAACCAGCAAGAAAAGTTCTATTAAGTGTAGGAGTCATTGACCAAAATGCATTAAAATACTAAAATGTCACATAAACGTTAAACGCTAGTGTTACATATAAATAACGCTCGAATTTCGCGGACTAATATTGTTGTTATGAAAATATTTATTACATAACAAAGATTCACGAGTCTTCCATATATGTTTCAGGTCGTACAGACACCCCTTGATAGAGGTCGAAACTTTTTATTATGGGTTTTTGTACATATCCTCTCTTTTAGTATCCTCCAAAACTTGGTTCTCTTAAATTTCCTCTTTTGCTTTCGCAAAACCGAAAAACATCCGAATTTATTTAATTCAATGCATATTTTGCCAATTTTTAAGTTTATTTTAATAACTTTAGTATTTTTCCATTACTTCAAATAAATTTGTTCAAATAAATTAAAGTGAAAGGTATGAAATTTTAAGAAAACGCAATTGGCAAATTTTAAGCATATGGCCAATGGTGATCTCAGTTGCGATAAGGGGTTGCCAGATTCTGAAACGGAGAAAGGAGTACATTTCTGATTTATTTTGGAACGAATTTCCGTCATCCCTTGTCAAGTTTGGTTTGCAGACAAACCGGTTTCGGCGTTGTGCCATATTCAGTGTCATTTTTCGTTCTGTCTGGTTCGAGTTCTTGTCCTTAATTTATGTTCATTTATCTTAGGTTATGTGATTTTAGTCGATGATTAACTATTATGGTGTCCTTTTTGTATTTTAGAAACAGGTAATAGAATGATCTTCGCTGTCTCGATATTAACATCCATTATGTTGTATCTGTATAGTTTTTTGCCTGCAGGTAGGTAAAAGTTGGTGATTTTTGTCCTGGTGGTACTTTGTGGTGTGTTCGGCGTGTCCATGCCTGTTGTTTTGTTGTAATTTTTCTTTTTCTCGTAAATTAATGTTGATGCGACCGTAGCAGTGTGTTTGTACCCTTAGGTTGATGCGGCTGTAGCAGTGTATTTGTATCCTTAGGTTGATGCGGCTGTAGCAGTGTGTTTGTCCCTTTATGTCATTGTATTTTATCGGAATGTTGTAATCCCATCACATACGAAATCAAAAGAAGCTCAAAAGGTTTTAATTGTGGTCCTGGTGATGGGAGCTTAGGAGCGTACAAAGGCGTAAGTTGATTTATTTATATATGATTCAAAAACTATTATATCTTTATTGTACAAATTGAACAGGAAATAAAGCACAATTCATGTCAGCATAAACATCGAAATTGGCGTGAGCTTTATTTTTAACCTCCTCGGACCAGGACACAATTCACACTCTTTATTTCGCTTTTATGGATTGGCGAATAACCAGAGTCTTGCCGCATTACAAGTTTTAATATTTTAAAAGCCTCGTGTGAGTAATGCCTGAAAGCTGTGGCTAGTAACAAGTAAGCGATTTGAGAGCGCGCGGTTTGTATGTACATGCGCTAAATTCCTTTAAGATCGGATGAAATTGAATCGAAATTGATCGGAGCACGTGCCATAAAGCAAGTAAGCTGCAGGTCGAGGTGTGGCTGTGAGCAAACAAGGAAGCTCATTTGGTAAGTGTCTTAAAGAACTGATTGGGTGAGAGTTAATAGTTAGTGGTGTGCGTCGTAGTGTGGTATAGAACATAACCTAGGGAAATCGCGCCAAAATTGTAAAATGCGCGGCTAAAAATTTCTTTCGAATATTCGTGGCGACCATTTTGTATCATGCCGACAACACGTTCCGGGGCTAGTAAAGAGGCTAGTGCGAATGAAGGAGATAGCGATAACGAAGAGTTTGAAGAAACGATTCCTCAGCAGCCTACAGCAAATATGGCTGGGCAACAATCGCTCGAAATTCGGCTAACTGAGATTTTGCGGCAAGTTCAAAGCATTCAAGAAGAGCTTCGGCAAAGTACGCAGGTACAGGCGAATGCGGCTAATGATAACGGAATTATTACAACAGCATCCAGCGTAGTAGGTCATTCGCAAAGTAGTTCACAACTAGGATTAACACTCAAGCTATATGATTTGCCAGAGTTTGAAGGGCGTCCAGAGAACTGGCCCATGTTTAGAGAAACTTTTTTAATGACCACTGCAGAGTACCAATATACTGATACACAGAATATGATTCGGTTACAAAAGGCAGTTAAAGGAAAAGCTAGGTAAACTATCGAGTGTCTGTTAATCCATAGTAGGAACGTGTCGCAAATTATGAAGGTTTTGCAGGAGCGTTTTGGGAAGCCGGAACTGCTGGTAAAGAGTCAGATAAATAAAATAAGAAATGTTGCGCCGATATCAGAAAGTTGCATCGAACAGCTTGTGGGATTTGCGACTAAGGTGCAAAATCTGTCTTCGTTTCTGCAGGCAGCTGATTGCGACCACCACTTGTCTAATTCGACGCTGATGGAAGAACTCCTGTTGAAGCTGCCCATACAGAGACGCATCGAATGGGCACGTTACGCTTCGTCAATTGTACCGCGACCAACAATCTGCCATTTTAGTGATTGGTTACAGGAGTTGTCATCAATTGTGAACTCGGCCTGCGTGTATTTACTCTAGCTTAGAACCGCGACAAAATAGACCCGAAGGGCGTTCAAGATTTTTCCACGCCAACGAGGCTAGTGGTGAAAATTCTGGGCGAATCAGGTGTGAGTCATGCGCAGATAGGCACACGATTACTAAGTGCAGAATATTCCTGAACATGGAGCACGGGGATAGATGGCGCCTAGTTCGTCGCAAAAAGCTCTGTTTTAATTGCCTAAAGGGAAGTCATCGCAGCAACAACTGTGGTGAAGAATATGAGTGCGGTGACAGGCACTGTAAAAAAAAGTGGCATGTACTTCTTCACGAGTCCAGTGGCAGAGCACAACAGTGGCAGTCAGCGCCACCGCAGCAAGCGTCGCAGCCGACTTCGCGGTACGCGATACAGCAAACGTTGGCATCGACATCAGAACAAGCAGTACAGCAAGTTTTTACAAATACGGTAGCACCCAGTCCCGCCCCGAAATTGTTATTTAAGATACTGCCTGTGGTATTGTACGCGCATGGTAGAAAAATCAATGGCGCATATTCATAGTCATATTTAGTACTCAACTAAGTCGAAACTATTCTAAGTCACAACTAAAGCTATTCATAGTCGCCTTAGTTTCGACTTTTCTGGCTAAGTACCAACTTAGAATTTAGTTTCGGCTGCAGCTGCAACTAAGTCGTAACTAGGAAAAAGTATTTTATCAAATTAAGGGAAAACAGACGAAATATGTAAAAATTAAGTTGGTAGAGGGTGATTTTGATAATATTGAATAATCTCCCATTAAAATTTACAAAGATCGATCCATCTTAATCGGAAGATGAAATTAAATGCGTATTACAATTCGAATAAAGCTATATCACCATTTTATAATTGGAATAATTTATATAAATTCTCAAATAATAAGTCAGTTTCACCCTAGTTCTTTTAAAGTAAATTTGTGCATAACATTTAGATATCTACTATTTGTATGTTTCACAGCATGCTTTCGATAAACATCGACTTCACATCATTGCGGTTGTTCTGGCTATTTCACACAATTAACAAGAAAATTATACCTTATTCATTTGCATAATCATGCAATGAAAATAAAAATTACATAAACGGATCATCGAACTTGGCATTATTTAATAAAAATGTAATTTTTCCAAAATATCGTAAAGAAAAATCGATACATTTTCACACTCGTTTTGCTATATCGTAAACTAAGTCGAAACTACTTAGTAGAAGTCTGAAATGCGACTATGAATAGAGGTAAATTTTAAGTTGGTACTCAAATTTAAGTTGCAACTTTGTTAGTTTCGACTTAGTTGCTGGACTATGAATACGCGCCAATAGCTACGCGTTCTTCGACGAACGGTCAGCCATATCCTAAATGAACCGCGACTCGCCTTGGACTGGAGGGAAGCAGTGATAACTTGACCCTGCAGTGGTTTGGCTGCACGACTGTTACGGAGCGTTCCTGTAGAGTAGACGTTCACATCTCCGGCGTTGGGCGTAACCGCAGCAAATTTCTGATGCGTGATGTTCGCACGGTTGAAAATCTTCAGTTGCCAATGCAGTCGCTTAGCCTGGCAGATCTTCATTGTAAATATCATCACTTACCAATCGTACAATATAACGATGATGTACCAGAACTATTGATAGGTTAAGACAACGCACATCTTGGCATTCCGAAGCGAACAGCATACGACGGTAGAAGAGGACATGCAGTAGTGCTGACGAAGCTTGGATGGGTTATTTATGGGACGGCGGGCCCCCTAGCTCCTTATTCGCGGTATCACACATTGTTTGCACAAGTCGGCGAGACGGAGAATATGACCGACAACATGGAATATCTTGTGAACGATTTCATAACTAATGAGAACATGGGCGTAAGTACGGCGAAGCAGGACGAAGCTAAGGACTTGTTAAGAGCGAAGAAATTATTGGAAGAAAACACTAAGCGCGACGGGATTCGATTAGAAACGGCTTTGCTGTGGAAGCGAGACGACGTGGAGGTGCCAGAGAGCCGAAAGATGGCCGTTAGAAAGGAAGTTCAAGAAGAACGACAACCTGAAGAAAGCATAAGCTAGGATCATTTCTGAATATCTGGCAAAGAGCTATTTCCGGATGCTGAGTAAGGAGGAAGCCGCAACAATAAGCAAGCGGACTTGGTACCTGCCTCACTTTGGTGTGTTTAACCCTAATAAACCAGGGAAACTTAGGCTAGTTTTTGATGCGGCGGCGGAGTCACGAGGCACTTCACTCAACTCCGTGTTACTCAGTGGGCCAGACTTTTCACAGTCTCTGGCAAGCGTCATGATGAAGTTTAGACAGAAACCGGATGGAGTGTGCGCTGATATTGTGGAAATGTTTCACCAAGTGAAGATTCGACACGAAGATTTGGCATCGCAACGCTTTTTATGGAGATTCGATCCCGGAGCGCCAATCGAAGAACACGTGATGAATGTGATGGTATTCGGAGCTACTTGTTCGCCCTGCTCAGCGCAGTTCGTCAAGAATAAAATCGCAGGTGACTTTAAAGAACAGTTTCCAGAGGCTGTAGCGGCGATCGTAAACAATCATTACGTAGATGATTTTGTGCATTGTTTCTCCAGTGAGGATGAGGCCTTTACGGTGACCAATCAGGTTGTCCGCATTCATAAGCGCGGAGGTTTTGAACTAAAAAGTTCGTATCGAGCTCGCAACTTATAAACAGCTTAAATGAAGAACAATTGCCATTAAATTATTTGAATTTTGACAGAGAAAATGCCGAATTGTTCCAGAAGGTGCTCGGAATGTTTTGGGAAACCGAAAGAGACGTTTTCAAGTTTGTTCTATCCTTAGGAAAGGTGAATCAAGACGTGTTAAGGCAGAAGCGGAAGCCAACAAAACGAGCAGTCCTCAGTACAACGATGTCCATCTTCGATCCGTTTGGAATGGCAGCAGAATATTCCCTGGAAGTTAAGTTAATCCTGCAAGAAATTTGGCGGGAGCGGATAGATTGGGATGACAGCATATCCGACGCGGTGTACGTGAGCTGGAAGAATGGCTTCGAATGCTACGAGATCTGGAGAGTATAAGTATACCACGCTGCTACGGAGCTACATTTGCTAAGGGACTCGTCGAACTACATGTGTTTGCGGACACGAGCGAGTCAGTATTCGCAACTGTTGCATACTGGAGACTTGTAGACGATCACGGCAATATCCGACTGGTTTTCATCGCTGGTAAAACTAAGTGTGCTCCAATTAAACTGGTATCTGTTCCTCGTCTCGAATTGCAATCAGCAGTGCTCACAACGCGCCTCAAAAATAGTATTATTGCAAGTCACGACAAGATCCCAAATAGAGTTACGATGTGGTCTGACTCAAAAACGGTATTGTCTTGGTTAAAATCGGATCATCGGCGTTACAAACCCTACGTAGCGCATCGGGTAAACGAAATTTTGGATGGCAGTGAAATTAATGAATGGCGATGGGTACCCAGCGCACTAAACCCAGCTGACTTCGGAACGCATTCCAGAGATGGAAAGCGCGAGTCATTCTGGATCACAGGTCCGAGATTTTTACAGCAAAACGATTACAACTGGCCGTCAAATGCATCTTGTGAACCTACAGAGGTTGAGCTGCGCAACAGATTCCCGATATTAATAATTAAAACTAATATTTCATTTTTTAAGAGATTTTCGTCCTTCACACGACTGAGAAGAGTAATTAGCTGGATGTTGCGATTTCGGGAAAATTGTCTCAAGACGAAAGCGACACGCGTTTATGACGGCTTGAAGGTGTTCGAGTTGCAAAAAGCCGTAACAGTAGTCATACGATCAACACAGATGGAAGAGTTTGCGGATGAATACCATGCCCTGCTCATGGGCAAGCGGGTAGAAAAAGGTAGCGCGTTGTGGAATCTCAGTCCCGTTATGGATGCGGAGGGCGTCATAAGACTGTGTGGTCGAATAGACGCTGCCACCGCGATTTCATCATGCACGAGACCCCCGATAATCCTGGCTAAGCGATGCTACGTAACGGAGTTGCTGATAGATCATTAGCATCGCTCTTGGAAACACCAAAACGAATCCACAATAATCGCCGAAATACGACGTAAGTACTGGATCCCTAATATAAGGGTCGAAGTGCGTCGCACCACTAAAAGATGCCAGTTTTGCGTCAATGCAAGAGCCGTTCCAGATCAACCAGAAATGGCCCAATTGCCAGTAGACCGGCTGACACCATTCGTTAGGCTTTTCACCTACACCGGCTTAGACTAAATGGAACCGTTCAACGTTGTAATCGGTAGGCGAAGCGAGAAGCGCTGGATCGCCCTCTTTACTTGCCTAACAACGAGAGCGATACATTTGGAAATGGCGAAGGACCTCTCCACCGACACCTGCCTGTTATGTATCAGGATCTTCATGTGTAGACGTGGAACACCTGTGCGTATCTGTTCGGATAACGGTACGAACCTCGTCGGTGCTGACAGGGAGCTTAAACGCCAGCTTATGGAGTTTAATAATGGCAAAATAGCAAATGCGCTTGCGAATAAAAACATTGACTGGGTTTTCAATTGCCCGTTGAACCCACACGCTGGAGGCTGCTGGGAACGTTTGGTACGCTGCGTCAAAAGAGCTATGGGTTATGCAGTACATAACGAAAGTCTTCAAGAACACGTCCTATACAGTCTCATGTGTGAGGCAGAGAACAAGGTTAATTTCCGACCGTTAACACACATCCCACTAGACGCACCCACTGATGAACCGCTGACTCCCAATCATTTTCTTTTAGGTACCCCAAATGCTGAGCAAACGCCATATCCGAATGAAGAGAAGTTCCAAGCCACTCGCAAACAATGGCGTAAGGCCCAACAGGTGCAATACCGATTCTGGAAGAGATGGGTAAATGAATACCTTCCTGACCTGACCAGGAGAACCAAATGGTACCAGCCAGTGAAGCCCTTGGCCGTAGGCGACGTAGTCCTCATGTGAGATAGCGGTGTTCATCGAACGAAGTGGCTTATGGGACGAATAATGGAAGTATTTCTGGGCAAAGATGAGCAAGTCAGAGCTGCACGGGTCCAGACTCAGGTGGGCATCTTTAAGCGACCAGCCTGTATGTTAGCAAAACTCGAAGTTGGTGAATCTAGCTAGATTCACGGATGCGGGGATGTTGATGCGGCCGTAGCAGTGTGTTTGTACCCTTAGGTTGATGCGGCTGTAGCAGTGTATTTGTACCCTTGGGTTGATGCGGCTGTAGCAGTGTGTTTGTCCCTTTATGTCATTGTATTTTATAGAAATGTTGTAATCCCATCACTAACCATACGAAATCAAAAGAAGCTCAAAAAGTTCTAGAAGGAGTTTAATTGTGGTCCTGGTGATGGGAGCGTAGGAGCGCACTAAAGCGTAAGTTGATTTATTTATATATGATTCAAAAACTATTATATCTTTATTGTATAAATTGAACAGGAAATAAAGCACAATTCATGTCAGCATACACATCGAAATTGGCGTGAGCTTTATTTTTAACCTCCTCGGACCAGGACACAATTCACAATTAATTTTACTTTGGTGTGATCTTCGATTCTAAGTTCTCATTTCATAGCCATCTAAATCGCACAATTGCAAAATCATATTCCATGCTTGCCTTTACACGCCGTTTTAGTTCTGACTTCACCGACCCGTATACTCTAAAATTACATTTTACCTCACTAGTTCGTTCTAAGCTAGAATACGTAGTATTTATATGGAGACCATACTATGACTGCCATATTAAAAGGCTTGAGAGGGTACAAAAGACGTTCATCAATTTTGCCCTCCGCTCTTTAAATTTTGATGATCCTGTTCCTTCTTATAATGCCAGATGTCAACTAAACGACCTGAAATCTTTGCACAGTAGAAGGATCATTCTTTCCCTCAGCTTTATGTATGATACTATCCGCAGTGTGATTGACTGCCCTTTTCTATTGGAAATAGTTTTCTTCCATGTTCCCCACAGAAATCTTCGAAATAATGAAATCTTCGGTCTTGAATGCGTGAAGACCAATTATGCATATTATGCAATTTGTTTGCAAACTCCTTAGATATCGATTTTTCTTTTGATAAGACTAAATTTAAGTCATTACTAAATGAACGCATTACTTAGCC